AGCGCACCCCAAGTACTTCTATCAGGCCACGAACTATCCAGCGCACCCCAAGAACTTCTTCTATCAGTCCACGAACTATCCAGCGCACCCCAAGTACTTCTTCTATCAGTCCACGAACTATCCAGCGTACCCCAAGAACTTCTATCAGGCCACGAACTATCCAGCGCACCCCAAGTACTTCTTGGTGCTCAGCTCTCCCGCTTACAAAATGACATAGCGTTGTGATGCTGGGCTCTTGGCCCCGAGAACCGGCTTGGATGGACAGAGGCCGGCACGCTCGGATGAACGCTGGCCTGGGATGTCCCCCAAAGGACAGTCACAGGATGGGAAAGACATCAGCTTCAGAAGCTGAAGGAGGCCTTACAATTCTAAATCCAGTTCTCTTCCTCACGCTCTTACCAGGGATGAGTGAGCTTGGCAATTTTCACATTTTAGAAGGAAATTCAGGAGTGTATTGTAACTTACACCCCTTGTGGAATTTGGGTGGCACCTGGAAACCTGAGACCAGACTGTCACACTAGATGTGAACGACAGAGAGAGATCATGTGGTTCACACAGGTTCCGGTCAGGTTTGGCCAATGTGCAAGTCGTGAAACTTCTTTTGGATTTAGAGACGGGGTTACCAGGGTGACCACAGGGCAGAGGTCAGTTTGATCTCCATGCGACGCTGCCTGGCCTGCTCACAGTCAGGCAATGAAGAGGCCACGGGGCCTAAGAGGAGCCAACCCTGCGGGTGTCGGCAGGCCGTGGCGGGCCTGGCAGGCTCTGCAGCACAGTGCACGCTCTCCAAGCTTGCATTTGGTGTCCTCTCCTGGTCATGCAGAGGCTGCGTGGATGTGCAGCAGTCCTGCTTGGCTGCTGAAGTCAGGTCTCCATGAGTGGCCTGGCCTGGCCATGCATCTCCTGTGCCGCCTGAGCTGAGTCATCATGGGTATTTGTGGTTAGTTGGCAAGACATGTGGGCGGCTTGGACAGAATCCTTGGTAACAGCATTTTCTCAGTCAAGCTCCCCTACTTCACAAGAATGGAAATGTCACCCGCAGATCAAGGGCTTCTCTACCCAATGTGCATAAATGCCAATTATATGCCACCAGGGTTTGGGAAGAGAAAGGATTTTAATGCTAAACCAGTGCAGAAGGAGGTATGAGCCCGCACCTCAGATTTACCCTCCTGAATCACTGAGGAGATGTGCTTTTATCACTTTTTGGGAAGTGGTCTTGGAGAACAAGAATTGAATGCCATTGGCTGGGGGCACAGAAAAGATAGTTTGCCATGAGGTTGCTGGGCAAAGCAGACAGGAGAGAGAGAACTGCAGGGTGGCTGAAGGCCTCTGCTGGAGGGAGACTCTTGTTTTAGAAGGCTGGTGCTCAGCCTCCTCTCATGTGGATGCCTCGTGGACAGAGGGCTGGCGTGGGTTCCTCTAGCCGGAGAGGCAGGATTGCTTGGGGCAGAAAGCTAATCCTGGAATTGTAACAATAGGGTCATCTCTCATCTGATTTCACAGCCGGGCTGAAAAGCGAAAGTGGCTGGACTTGGATTAACAGCTCAGCTGTGGGCGGAAGAATCAGACCTACTATCAGGTGGGGGTCAGCATCTAGGGATGCTTCCAAAACAGTGTCTCCAGAAAGCCAAGCCTGACTTCTCAGGGGTCACGGTTCTCATGGATAGGGAGACGGTATCTGATAGTAAAAAAGAGCTGACATCAGAACAGAAAGGGAAGAAATAAATTGATATAGATAGATATATATACACATACATACATATGCATCGTGATGTGTACATATATTCAGAGGAAGAATATATATATATTGCTACTGAATTTAAACACTGCTTTTTTTTTTTCAGCAGCAACTTTTCATAATGTGTGAGTTTTGGTATATGAAATAGATCATCCTTGTTTAATCTTCACCTGGTTAGCACCAAGGATGATGTGAAGTTTTGTGTCACCCTAGTTCTTCTAAGCCGGTTTGTTTAGTTATGTAATTCAGGATAGCTAATGAGGATGGAAGCACTCATGTGTGGTATTTCAATTGAATCAGGACGAATCAGTCTTATTTTCAAATATGACTGTTATTCATGATTGTGTGGTTTATGTGTTCCTTAGCCTCTGGTGAACAAAACTCTCAAGTGAAAAAAATATGCAAACTTACTGTCTGGGTTTTATATTCCATTATATGTGCACTGCGCAAATGTTCTCACCACGATCAGAGTGAGAACAGAAAGCATGTTTCCCGCTTCGTCCCTCCTTTTCTATGAAAAGCACCATTCCCATCTCGGCAGACAAATTCCAGCGGCAGTCACTTGGGCCAGGAGGTCACACTTCATCACTTAGCACAATGAAAACGAAAACAAACATGGTTTTCTTGCCGCTTGGGGTTTTTACCCAATATACCCCATGTGATGAGTAATAAATCACCAGCTGGCAACTGGTCAATCTTTATCACCAAAAAAGCCTGTGCGGGCTTTAGACCATTTCACAATTCAGGTAAAATCCCATCTGTGTCCACCTCTGTTTATCTACCAGCCACCTACCTACCTATAATCTGTTTCTATTTCTAGCTGTCATCTACCGAAATATTTGCCTCTATATTTAATTCTAGTTATATCTTCCTTATGTTTTCCTACTCTATATCTATTATTTCTTCCCTTTGTTTTTACCTTTTCTTATAGCTATCTACATTTTCTTCCCTTTTTCTTTATTTTTCTATTAGGTAGCATCTCTCTCTCTCTAAGTCATCATCGTCATGTCTGCTTGTGTATGTGTGGATGAAAAGGGAAAAAGAATAGGTTTGAAGAACTATGCTTAATTTCTTCCTCCTACCTTCATCTCTGCTACCAGAGGCTCCTGGCTGAATGTGCTCCCAGCCTGGCAGTGTGTGCTCAAGAATCCCCGGCAGCAGACACATCCTTGTCTTCAAGGTCACAGGGGTTGGGCGTTGGAGACTAAAACCATAAAGCAGACATAAAGTCCCTACTAGGAGGACTTTTTAGTACATACATTAATTTCTCCTGCACAGCACAGCTCAAGCCAGGGAATAAGTCCTGCGGTTACTTTTGGGAGAGTTAAAGCCAGCTATTATGTTATGGACAAATCATGTCGATGTGACAGTCTCTTATTGTCTTTAATCTGCAATCTCTTCCTGGTAACTATTCTCTGCTGTGTCCTTCCATGACACAGGTGGAGCAGAGACATTATCTGTGCTGCTACATATTTCTCTCTCGGGGCTAGAGCATTCCTGTGTGGCAGCCCAGGGACGTGGGGTCTTCACTAAACAGCATGCCAAGATTCCCCTTGTGGTTCATTTGTGGGACAACATCTATGTCAGTGTCACCTACAGCGCTACTCTGGAAATTAGCTTCCCAGCTGCAAAAATAGACCTGCACACAGAGTCTTCTGTTGTTGTTAAATTTGGAGAAGGAACCCCAGATTTTAAACTTGGAACTGAATTGAACTCTACAGGGTGAAAGGGACCAAGTTTCAAAGGAAGATGGCAGCCAATTTCTTTTGTTATTTAATTTTTTATTTTTTCAAGAACAGTTAACATTTACTAGGCACCTATGGCCTCAGTCACTTGCATCTAAAGAGCAAAGCTAATTTATCCACAGCCCGTGTTCTTTAAATGGTTAGCCTCATTTCGTAGCTCTGTTAACCACTAGTCTAACATTAGCTTCAAGTTCAACTTGAGTCATCTACTCCCTAGTTGTTACTGCTCCCTGCCACACGAACGAAAAGGTTTTGGGGGAAGAAGGTGAGCAGTTCATATTTTCTGTGGATACTTCAAGTAATTGGCCCCAAAGTGAAATGATCGAGTTGGCCTTGGTTTATCATGTTCTGAGGGCATAAAACATGGATGGACATGGACCTGTAGAAAGAGTCTGTCTCCAAGAATGGGTGAAAATCCTCTAACTTTACTTCAACTGGCCTAATATCCTGAGTCACTAGATGGTTGGAGAATAGATACAGTAACAAACAGATGTACATTTATACCAAAAACCAAAAACCAAGTTTGTACAAGATGAACAGCAAATGAAAGCGCTTCTATCAAAATAAAGTCTCACACAGGTCATTTTTATACATACAGGGACATACGCACCCCCACGCACGCACAGACATACGAGCAAGAATGTGTATTTTGTAAGATTGGTCCTTGGAAATAGACATTCTTAGCAAATATGGATGACAGATCAATTGTAATTTATTTTCTTTTAACACTGTATCATCATAAAGAAAACTGGTATAAATGAAAAAATCTATTTCAAATATCTACATCTAAAATTTTAGGCAGTGAAAAAGCACTTTGTTGACAAGGAGTGTGGAATGGTGGATGTTAATCGTCAGAAACTGCTGAACGCCTTGCTTAGTTGCCACAAACAAATTCACAGATCAGAACGAACAATACTGCTAAATATTCCTTTTTTTCCCATTTTTTTTGTTAAAACATACTGGGAGAAAGAAAAGAAAAAGAAAAAACTGGAAATCCATACATCTTCCAAAAGTTTGAAACTGAAGCAATATTTAGAACCATAGATGAGGAGAGACTTCTGCATTGGTGTAATATACACAATGCTCTCTTCTTCTTTAATCTGTAATGTACATCAAATACTTTACAACAATGCATTAACAAAAGGCAAGAAACGTCTTGCTGTACAGAGGAACCCCAATGCAACGTGAAGCCTAGAATCACAACGGATGAAGAGTAAACAAAGCGTGAGAAGCCGCCCCTACAGTGTTGAAGTCTGCCCCGGGTGCCTCGCCTGCACGCCCCGGCCCACCGCGTCCTGCTGTGGCAGCCACGTTCGGTATCGAGCACTTCGGCCCCTCTACGGCTCAGGCCACGCGTCGCGCCACGTCCGCTTCAGGGTCGTCTAAGCTTCCTAGCGACTTCCGAGTTAACTCTCGGTGTGTTTAGCTTTCTAAAACAGCTCTGAGTATTTCCTGACGGGTTATCACAGCCTTCCTACGGAACAGGCTTTAACAAACTAAATTCGCAGGGGAAAAAAAAGAAAGCAATGTCTCGTGGTAGGCATGCACATGCACTGTTGCGGGCGCCTCCCCCTCACACCCACGAGTCGGGGGAGGCGGGATAGTGGCTTGTCTCATAGTTCAGTTCACTGTAGGGTCGGGCGGCGGAGTAGAAGTCGACATAGTTGCCAGTGGACTTGAGGCCCAGGTGCATGGTGTACTCGCTGGCGGGAGGACGATGGTGGACCTGGTCCTCGAAGAAGGACTCGTCGTAATTTCGCGTGGAATTCTGGAATGGCTGGTAGGTCTCGTAGTCTTTTCTGCTGGGCTCCTGTGGGACGGGCTGTGCTGAAACCTGAGCAGGAAGGAACAGCCACCGGTGAGTCTGTTGCCCTTGACCCAAGCGCCTCGGCCGCCGGGCCCCTTCCTGCCCCCAGTCAAGACCGAAGGCCCGGCCCAGCGTGGCGTCCCTCCCAACACTGCTGACCGCGGACGCCTTTCCTCTTAAAGTGGGCTCCTGTGTCCACACGCTATCATTCTAAGTTTTTTTTTTTTTTAAACATGGTAAGATGTGCCATGCAAAGTCACCATCTTGACAATTGCGGGACGCATAAGTCAGTGGCGTTAAGTGTGTTCCCGTTGATGTGCACATGTCACTATCGAGCTCCAGTAGTTTTTTTATCAGCCCCCCTCCCCAAGAAACGACCCATTTAGCATAACCCCCTTTTTCCTTTTCCCCCACCCCTGACTGCTGGCAATTGCCATTGTCCTTTGTGTCTCTGAACTGGGTGGTTCTAGAGAACCTCATAATTGGAATCATATATTAGTCTTTCTGCATCTGGCTTCATTCACGTGGCATAATTTCCCCCAAGCATGGTGGAGCATGAAACAGGATTCCTTCTTTTAGTTTTATTTTTTTACAACAGTTGAATTTAAGATGTTTCTATTCCTTTTTATGGGTGAGTAATATTCCACCACAGGGCCATAGCATATTTTGTTTACTCATTCATCCACGAATGGCACTGGGTTGGTTCTACTTTTGATTATTGTGAACATTGCTCCTGTGAACACGAGTGGACAGATATTGCATGCTTTCAGTTACTGGGGGATGTATCTAGAAATGAAACTGTTGGATCTTGTGTTAGTTCTGTGTTTAACTTTTTGAGGAGTCACCAACGTGCCACAGCAGCTGCCCCCTTTTACTCGAGAACCATTTCCTTTTTTTAATTAAAAAGGAATAGACTAGAGGCTATAGAGTAGTGGTAGCTCATTTTCATCTTCTCTGCATTTTCTCTCTTCCCCAAAGGTGTTGCAATCCAATCCCACGGAGACAGTGAAGATGCCACCAGGCATCCCGCTGCCAGCTCAGAGGCTGAGACCAGCCCCCTTGGGAGCAACGGGCATCCGTCAGTGCATCACGCCTGCCTACCTGACAGGAACTGCGCCTTCAAAGGCCACACAGAAATGCATGGCGGCAAAGGCCAGCGCACGCAGACGTTTACAAGACGTTCCCCAGCTTTGTCCAATTAGTAACTGAGCGAGCGTGGGGGTACTGTGGGGTCATGAGCTTGCAGCTGGGAGGGAAGGAGGGGCCTTCAGAACGACCTGGGGTCCCCCAGCCCCACGCAGTCTCCCAGTTTCCATTCCTGTCCTCTGCAGGTTACGGATGCTGGAGCACTGAAGGGCGGAAGGGAGCCCAGGAACCCTCGCGATCGTGGACAGCAAGCTCAGGCGTGCGTGGGTGGTGACCGGCAGGCCGAGGGCCCAGCGCTCTCCCCTCACAGCCCAGGAGGCCGAGCCATCCCTGAAACTCCCCGGGGCACACCCGCTGTGCCCGAGCCCACTCGCGGGAGGAGGCGAGTGGCAGAACACTCTCAAAGAGACCGCTGGGCCACTCTGGAGCAGATCCGGCAATTTCCTATCAACGTGACGAAGGTCCTCTAGAAGCTGGCCGCCATTACCAGGTGGCGACATGTGACGAGTGTGTGGAAGGCTTCTGCCAGTCCGCACGTCATGCTTCTCTCCAGCAAGTGAGACATGTGATTGATCTACATGCAAATCGACCTCTTCAAAGCAGCAGAGGGCTGAGAGCCGTATCAGCACGGCCACCGGTGCGCACAGCTTCTGCTGGCTGGCGGCGGCCCAGCGGGCGAGGCTCTGTCCGTCTGCAGAGGGGCCAGCCTGTGAAGGCGGGCGCCCGAGGACCTGGCCGCCGGACCTGGGGATCAGCCGAACCCGAGGTTCGGCGTCGTTCTGGCCGGGGGACTCCCGGTTACCCAAAGTGCCTTTGTTCTTTGCAGAGCTGTGTGCTGTGCTCGGTTTCTTCACCCCAACACCGAGCTGCTCCCCCAGCTGGGGCATGCACAGGCCCAGCGTGGGGCGTGTGGGGAATTTACACAGGAGGGAGCCAGAGTTTACTGCGTTCTACCTCCGTGGGCCCTGAGCTGACTTGCTTCTGAACACAGGCGTTGGCACCGAGGCGGGGGTGGGAGGTGGGTGCCCGGCACAGGGCTGCGAGCCTGAGCGGCTGCTGTGGCCCCAGGTACCTGGCACACGGGGAGCTGCTGCCGCTTCTCTGAAGGCGGCGCCCTCTCTGGGGCCGGGAGGCCTGGGCGTCCACCGCTGTGGGTCACGGGACCCACACCCGGGAGCCCTGCATCACGGCATCTCTGCTCACCTTTCCCCTCAAGCGCAGAACGCCTCATTTAGCTGGTGAACGGCAGGGCCAGGCCCCCTCCCTGGCGTCTGCACAGGCAGAGCCCCCTTCGGGGTCCTCACCGCCCCCACGCTCGAATCCGTCTGCACGAGGGAAACAGCCGCTGTCACAGAGGGCCAAGGGCCCCTGTACTGCGAAAGCTGAAGCCCCCAGGGGTGCCAGGAAGAAAGGAGGTGAGGAGGGCGCTGGTCCCCAGGCCGCACCCCAGTTCCCGCATCAGCATCACTGTCAGAGACGCGGGTCCCCGGCTCACCGCAGACTGAGTCGGAAGCTCCGGGGGTGCTGGCTTACGTTCACCCCGAGACCCACTGGTTCCGAGGAAGGAGATGGGCGAGGTGGGCAGAGGGCCGAGAAGCAGGCTGGGTCTGCCCGGTCCTGGCGGGGTGACCACCAGCCCTTGTGGGGACACTCTGACCTGCCTGCTCACCCAGAGGGCCCCAGGACACTGGCAAGGAACGTACGAGGCTGTTTGTGGTCACCGCTAATCATTCAGTTATGGGTCATGAAAATGCCGGAGTCTGGGGACTGGGGCCCTAAACCCCGCCGTCGGCACCCACAACAGCTGCCACTGGGACTCGCTTCTCTGTGCCGCTCCCGTGAAGGCCGTGCGCCCCGGGGTGACCACAGCACCCAGGAGACAGCGCTCACCGAGGACAAGCTGGCCAGACGGGGGCACCGGCCCTCGGCAGAAGCCGGGCAGGCTGGCTTTCACAGCCCGAGAGGTTATGGGGTGCTCTCGGCTCAGGGGTTCCCCAGAATGAGTGCTGGGCCTGGCGCGCAGCCACACCCACGTGGCCGGAGTATCCGAGCCGGGGAAGGTGCTGACGGGCCGTCTCTAGAAGCACGGACGGGGCAGGGACTAGCCGCCGGCCCTCCGGCCTTCGGGCGGTCACTCCCCACTGGGAAAGCGGCAGGCGAGTCCACTCCAGTGAAGTCCCACTCAGGGAAGCGCTTTGCTCGCCGTCCCCACGTTCCCTGGGGCGTCAGAACGACCACCTGCAGCCCTCTCAGGGGACGTCTGAGGCGCTGCTCACCGAAGCAGGGTGACCGCTGCCCGGCCGCCCACTTCCCGTGTCGGGGCCCCAGGTGTTGAGGGCCCTGAGCTCCCCGGGGGGCCAGACTGCCGCCCTGCGGCCACACGCTTCCCAGCGGCAGGCACCGCCTCACCCCGCTGCCCTCAGCGGCGTCCGCCCGCAGCACCGAGCCTCCACGCTGACGACGAGGCTGAGTCCAGCACAGTGTTGGGCACACGGGCGAGAGGGCGCGAGGCTGGGCTGAGCCCCCCGCAGGGAGGCCGCTGAGGTCGAGTGCGACGGCTGAAAAGCTCCGGGAGGCTCCGGGGAGGCGCGTGCCCCTGCGTCACCGCAGTGTCCACCAAGCTGGGCCGCACCGGGCTTCGCTTCGCTGCCGGCGACAGAGACCCCGGGCGCAGCCTGGGCCAGGACGTGGGCGCTGGGGCAGTGTCTCGCCCCGGGGGACCGAAGACTCCCCCCACACTCTGGGATGCCAAGGCAGCGTCCTGGCCCCGACGGCCACTCACCGCAGCCGGGATTAGCTGAGAGAACAGTGTCCAGGGCCGATTCCCCGGGCGTGGGGTGGCCACTCCAGGACACTGTGTCCATTTCCCATTGCTGGGGCTGTGCTGACCTGGGACCAGTGGGGCACCCCGGGCGCACTCCTCCAGCGCCCTGGACCCTAGTTATTCATTCCGGACCTGTTTACTCTTGGCAGAGACCGGGCCAGGGGAAGCTGTGTGGGCAGGTGTCAGGTGGGTGCGGGACTGGACACTCGCAGGGGCTCAGACTGCGCCCGGCTCTTCCAGAGCGGCTGTGCGTGGGCCAGACAGTGGGGTGAGGGGTTGCTCTGCCCCCCACTCTCCTGTCTGGTGATGGCAGATGAGAGAAGAAATGGCTCAAGGACGGGGTGGGGGGATCTCTGAGGTCCCCCCTTCCCTGGGGAGTGTCCCTGGACAGGGCATTCTACCTGGAGAAGGGGGTCCCCCTGTCTTCTAAGCCCAGCAGGTGCTGAGAAACGCTGAAAGGGCCTCTGCCCTGCGGGCTGATGCCACGGTGCCGTCATCGGGCAAACAGCTCCCAGTGTCCCCCCAGCCAACCTGCCTGAGGCACATGTGGAGCGCAGCAGAAGCCTCTCCTGCAACGGCGGCTACACTGTCAGCCCTGAAGGGTCCCGCGGTCCCGCGAGGCCACCAGCGAGGGGAGCGTGACCTTCTGGACCAACGAAGGGTCAGCGGCGGTCGTTTTTGCTGGTCAAGCTCCCACAGGGCCACAGAGATGACGTGCACACACGTGCCGAGTCTCCCCTGACAGCTCCCCTCACGGCACACGCGGCCGGGGGACAGCTGGGCGGGAGGCGACTCTGGTGCAGAGGGGCGGGGGCAGAGGAGCCGCCCTCTGCGCCCCAACCCAGCGAGGGGGTCCCACCCCGCCGCGGCCGCACCCTCCAGCGCCCTGCTGCTTTGTGTCTCCTGGGTGAGCCCACAGCTTCAACCAGACCCGTGGGGGCGCCGGCAGCTGCCGGTTACAGGGGTCCGAGCACCCCTCCAGAACTGCACGGTGCGTCTGGGAACCAGGTGCCAGGCACGCACGCTGGCAGTCAGCCGCGTCGGCACAGGGGCGACTTTGCGCGCGAGGCCGCCACGGGGTGCCGAGGCCGCCACGGGGTGCCGAGGCCGCTGCGCCCCGCGAGGGGCAGCCGCCAGAGGAGCAGGACTCGCTTTTCGCGCTTGTGCACGCAGCCAGGCGCGAAGCTCTTCTGCTCCGGGTGTTCCTGCGCGCCAGATGGGCACAGCGCAGACGCGCTCCCTTACCTGGTTGTGTTTGATGTCCTCGGCGGGCGCACCATATGAATTTCTATACAAAGTCGAAATTCCAGTATTTTGAGCTGCAAGCCAGAAAGAAACAAAGCGTCAGCAGGAGAACGCCGTTCGGGTGAGGCCAGGGCCCGGCTGGCGCTGCCCGGGCCGGGCTCCTCTGGCCGAGCCGGCGTTCTCCGCCGGGTCTTTGAGTCCCACAGCCCCAGGCTGCCGCAACAGCGTTCGCACTGTGCACGGGCGGGCGGGGGCGGAGCAGAGGCCCTCTGGCGGGGTTTAGCGCCTCCTTTCCTGGTGGGACCTGGCGGGTAAAACGAGCTTGTCACTTGCACCGAAGCGTGCAAGAATCTGTATCAGCAGCCTCGTTCTTTGCTGGAAAATGACAAGAATGAAATTTCTAATTTGAGCTCCCAGAAGTGCTTGATCATCTCCCAGACAGTTCATCGCTCAGAGGCTCAGGACAGGCAGGCAGCACCACCTGCCCTCCAGCCCACCTGTGTGTGGCGTGACCATCCTGCCCTCAGGGAGGAAGGAGGGAAGGAGCGAGGGTGGGGAGGGAGGGGGAAGGGAGGGAGGAAAGGGGAGGAAGGAGGGGGTGGGGAGACCTGCTCTGGCTGCCAGCCGCTTCCAAAGACCTATTTACCTGCGTCCTCACCTGGAAGCCCTGGGGCTCACACCACAAGCTCAGAGGAAGGTCCTAGAGCACCACACCCCTATGGTCACCGAAAAACAAGAAACCCTGGAAACACTGTCCAGAGTCAGTGGGGTATAAAACACCCCAGAAGTTGCGAAGAGCTAATCTGCTTGCAGCGCCCACGGGATCATGAACTCGGTGGACACACCGCGCCTTCTCGCCTCGGCTCCTGCAGACAAGTCAGCGTGACCTGCCGCGCCACGCGCGATCCACACTAACAACGCCCAGCGGTGTGGTGAACCCTCCTGGGACGCCGAGCCTGGGGAGAGCCTGCTGGCCGCCGTACAGCCGCTCGGGGATCCTGTCCGGTGCGCGCCGTCCCGTCTCTGCGCTCCTGGGAGCACCGCCGCCTCGCTGGCGGGCCGATTCTAGGGTCCTCCAGAGCCCAGGGGACCCCCAGGCCCTGCTCTTCTTCCACCCTGTTCCCAACACCTGCACGGTCCCCTAGAGACCACCTGGATCGCGTTCTCCGCGCTGCCCTGCAGTGATGGCCGAGCCCCAGAGGCCCCGACCTGGCCCTGCCTCCTGCCTGGCAGCGGCTGTCTGCTTCCCTGGCCACGCCGGCCTCGTCCTTCACTCAGGCTCGCCAAGGCTGCCTTGCTTCACGATGGTGGCCGTGCTGATCCCGCTCCTTGGAAATCCCCCCCTCTGCTTGCTGGTGTTAGGTCAAACACCTCCTTGACCACGTCCCCAAAGGGGACGCCTCCCTCGGCTCCGCCACCCTGACCTGCTCACGCGGCATTACCGGGCCGGCGAGCTTGTCCTGCTGTTGACCGTGGGGAGAAGCTGCCTTTGCGCTTGCCAGAAGCTCCGGGGGCATGAGCGGGCTGTCCTGCCTCCTGCATGGGTTTCCCAGGACGGGGCGGCGCCAGGGCGGCCTGGGCTCGGGAAGCCTCCTGGAGCGAGAGCTTTTTAGCTGGGTGAATGCACAGAGGAGCAAATTCAAAACTCTGCCTTCTGAGCTATAATTTGCTGAAGGATAAGGTCACTTGAAGTAGTAGGTGACATTTTGTTTCATTCTGTCATCTCAGAATAAAAAAATATTTGGCGTGTGGTGGACACTCACAGGGCCGGAGCCTTGTCCAGCCCTGCCCCGGTGCCCTGCGTCTGCTCAGTGCAGCCCCAAGAACTCGCCCCTGCTCACTGGCCACTTCACCTGCTCACAGGAGACCGCCGCTGAGGGAGCTGACGGCCTTTGCGAAAACATGAAGCGGGTGTCTTCTCGGCTGCACCCTGGGTCAGAGCTGTCACCACCAGCGTCCCCTGTCTCCACCCTCACCGTCCCCTCCGTCACCACGGTGATCACTGACTTTACACGGCACTTTCTGACCTAACAGAAACCTTCCTGGACAAACACGTTACTCGGCCAAGACCTCCGTGTTCTCACGGACCCGCCGCGGGACGGGCGTGCGGTTCGGGGCTGCGTTTCTAAGTCAGTGAGCGCAGAGCTACATGTAAGCCTCCAAGCAAGTTTGGGAAACTGCATTTATCCCAGCAGTGGAGTTGTGGAGATCCTGCCTTTTCTGGGAAGACGAAGCATCTGGACACGGAGCCCATTTTCTGTCGCTGGATAAGGTGGCGGGGCAGGCTCGTGCGCCACTGAAACGGTCACAGACAACCACAGCCACATCTAAAAGCCCGGCGAGGCGGCTGGCGAGAGCGTCGCCCTTCGCCAGGGTGCCGTT